GCCGTTTTACTGCAAATGACAAGAGAGAGAGAGAGAGAGAGAGAATATAGTGCATTATGAGAGCAAACCGGTGCACTTTGCTCTTGCGACACTGTTTTCGAGATAACGCGATATCTGACTTTCACGCGATGTCCTCGCCTGCGCACCACACGTGTGTCTGCTAAATGCGCAATTTAGGATTCCTGCCAATTCAATTACGATTTATCGTCTGCTCATGTGGTCCGTCGCCTACGTCCGGTATAAAACCTACGACATCTATAAAGTGATAATCTCCACGCTTAAGTGCTTGAATGCTTTTAAACCGCATGCAAAGTATAGAGGAGGTGCAACGTAATTCATCGCACTCAACACACTTTGGCGGGGAAATTCACCAAGTGCTGCAGGAGCTACGTGGCGTGCAAGAAGCTTCTATCACGCTCATATTTCAATGTCAAAAGCGCGGTTCTCTTTACTTTCTAATTATTTAGATTTAAAACTTGGCGCCACGTTGTAAACTGCATTAAGCGGGTGGTAATCTATTTTTTCCGACCTACGCGCGTCCTTGGCGCTGCAGAGTTAGATCGAGTTGCGCGACGAGTAATCGCATGACTGCGGGTGTTGGCTGAGCGTGTATTTGTTTTCTTTTTCGTAAGTGGGGCAACATTCGTGTTTGTCGTTCACGCAGGCTACCTTTTCTTTTCACTTTCATACATTTCGCTCTCCAAAATTCGTTTACTGGATCCCACACAGTTTACGAAGAGGGGCTGCAGACTCCGATATCGTGTAAACACCGCGCTTTTGGCTGTGGCCGTGGCGAACTGCGTTGTGTCACGGCGAGCGCCGTCCACAATAACAGAGCCTTCCGTTAGCATTGCGCCGCCGTGTCGCAATAAAAAAATGACTCGAGCATAACTCTCGTCCAGCCGCTATTTTTCGCTGCTACGGACCGCGAAAAGCTCTAATCCCAGCCAGGCCAAGAACATAACACTTGTCATTGTCACCATTGGAGAGAGAAGGTTATCATTCTCTTCCGGGTTTTCTGTACTCTTGCGGAGCATACTGTAGGGTGCGTGTGTGAAAAACAGCTGAGAGATGCCAAATGTTGTGTTCAAGTGACGTCTGCGGGAACCTCGAAGGACGCCCAAATTCCTCAAGCATGGCGAAGTGCTGTATTTACGGAACAACATGGAAAACTAACAGACATTCTCATTAATATTGTGCCTAGCTTGCGCCCTACAAATAAAGTCAAGCTCTTCCATTTCTGCTTTTCTGCAGTATTCTAAGAATAAAATGACAAGATTTAAAGCTAAGTATTGAAGGTACTGCCATTCCCAGCGTCGACGCTTCCTGTCATGCAAGAGTAATTTTTCTCGGACCCTGGACACTAAAGTCAAATAACAATTTACGTCAGAGTGAAAGCTCAATGTACGACAACATCTAAAACGACAATATAAAAAAATTAAGGTAAAGAATATAAAGAAATTAAGGTAAAGGCCCAAGATTAGAAGCGCCACAGTAGGCCAATTTCAAAATGATCCCGATGACATCAGATGGAACACCTACAAATAATCACTAGTAACCAATCTAACTGCTCTAAAAGAAGAACCTTCGCGCATCAAGAGACTCAATAAAATGCTGCTTGTTCGTTTCTGTTTGATTAATGAAAAAAAAAGAACCACTGGACGTTACTGAGGACGAACGGCATGAGTGGTTCAAAAATTTTCGCATGGTTACACGAAAAAGGTGGTACCATCTAGCGGGGCACAGTTGAAACAAAAGCGTCTGCAGTCTCGAAGCCAATGGAGGGAAATTGATGAATGGCCGTTGTTGCTGCTGTGGCTCCCGCTGCTTTCGGTCTGCTGCTACCAGCGCAGTAAAGCTGGGCAACGTTGAGCACGGCAACAGTGACGTGAGTCGGTGCAGTGAGCTTGCTTCTTGAGGAGGGTAATTTGAATTACGCTCACCCGATGCGGACCACTAAAACATGATTTTCTTTGAAAATGAGCCCTTCTTTGGCACAAAAATAACACTACGAGTTTTCTGGAGCGCCATTTTAACAATCAACGTTGACTTAATAGTTGACATTAGTGTCCCTTTAACGTTGATTCATTTCAGTGACAAGCACTTGTCGAGCGACCAATTACATCTGGTGAACAAAAAATAGCTCAGAGATACTTGTGCCCTCGCATTCTTGCGACTTATCACCACGCGAAATTCACATCTTCTCGCATTTTTTATTCACATACTCTAAAGTCCTTTAACGGACATAACATAAAGAAGTAGGGCTTACAACGGCATAGATACACTCGTTAACAGCAGCATAAATGAAGCATATTATATAGAACAATAGCGCATACAAAATAGGTTAAAATTTCAGACACACGGGGTGTTTACAGTAATGTTACTAATAGTAAACTTTCATAAAATATTAGGCAAACTATTTTGCATTTATAAGTACGTCGTGGCTTTTTACAGACATAATATTGCGTGCTAGATCATCGGAATGACAGATGGCACACAGCAATGGCGAGTTATACAAAAGGTTAGTACTTGCGTGCGGTGCTAAAACTTTCAGAGGGGTGATCTAAGCGCGAAAAAATGCAATGGATAGACCATACGTAGATGGTAGGAAATGAGGAATTATTATAAAGCTTGTGAAAATGCGATGGTAGTGCCGGCACGCTTACTTCCTCTAGTGATGGAAGCTTCAGTGATATTTTGATATTAGTTATGCTCCAATTACATGGCAGTTTCTTGTTACAAATGACGTAAGTAGTTTCTCGCTTTGCTATGCCCTGCTAAATAAGCTGGCATCCTGCCTCTGCGCTTATGATTGGTGCAGAAGTTTGTAACTGCGGCCGCGTGACTGATAAAGCGAGCAGCTTGTGACTGAGTGAAAAGATTTGCTTCGATAACTTGCGACCATTTGGCGACCGGTTGCTCAGCGACTGACTTGGTCACGTGATCGGTGGAAGTCGCACTTGTGAACGAGCCTTTGTACAAGAGCGAACATTGCCTTTAGCCAGAAGATTAACCACGTCATGACGCAGCTAACAAGACGAAGAAGACAGCACACACGTTATGCTAAAACAAAAAGCGTTGCAGCGTTGCGACTCATATGCGTTGATATATGGACGTTTCCCGATGCGCAAGTGATCATCCTGAATCTTCCCACACGTAAATTTCAATATCTGCTTCAAGTACAGTTTGCGGAAATACTCCACTAGAACGTACCCTTTCAACACCTAAACTGGGACGGCGTCGAAAGTAAAGTGCTGTTTTATAATGGCGCAGAAACTGCACAATACTTTAAACAATATTATGTGCTATAAAAAGAAAAGGATCATTCAAAAAAGTTTTGCGGTTTCGCCAATAAATCCTGAAGAAAATGACATTTCAGTGGGGTTGATGCTGCTAATGTCGTATGGCATATACCCTGTCAAGTTTACCACGTCCGTATCTTTGCTAAATTGACGAAAATGAATGGTGTACAATTGGTTTAGAGGAACTGTGCAAATAACTTACACTATGAGTAACAATCATCCGGGAAGGCTTTTCCAGCTTTTCCTCAAACAAACTCGCTTTATTGATTCAATTTACAGTCTGGACCATACCGATATCGAAGAGCCTTGTAAACTCGCCGCCAGGATAGCTTAAGAAGTACTGAACAAAATATTATCAGCAATAACGTGCCTTCTCTTATTGATAATGAAAAGTTGGAAACCAAGGTATCACGCTTGCTGCTATTACACGTAGAGGCCCCACATTTATTTGGCGAAACAACCATGTCATGTATTTTTTTATTACTATACGCTATGGAACCAATGGTCGCACTCATTATATACATGTTGCTCTGATACTGCTCGGTTCTATTGTTGATCTACCTCACGACCTTAAGCTTTGTCGTGGCTAACGTATGCTTTCGATGTGAAGTAGACTGGTAATGGCTATGCTTTTGGCCCTTGAAAACGTTATGAAATTAGGAATATTTTTTTTACACCACCTGATACTAATATGCTTTATTCGTTTCATGAAAAGTTCACTAGTAGAATCGCTTGTCCTTTTTACCTTGGTGCTGAGCGTAGCGCTGTCATGAAGGGCACTCAGGCGTCTTGAAGTTGTTTTTACAACCATTATTACCCGCGACTGCGCAGGGTAGTGACCCAGTTACCTGTTTCAGGCTAACCTTCTCTGCGTTTGCCTTTTCGTATATTTGTCTCTATGTAGTTGTTCGCCACATTCTTGCTGTCCAAGTACCTCAAAAAAAGTTCGAAATAAAGTTTTGAAGTCACTCGAAAAAAAGACAGACCCGTTATTACGGTACAAAGGCGTAGCGCAGAGCAGGCACAGAGAAGGATGCTGAAGTGCATTATTCTGTCAACGCATCGTGCTAAAACTACAGTGTCTAGAGCACTGTACTAAAACAATAACAGCTTCGACACCATTACGAAACGTGAGAAGTCTCGGAGGGCGAGCAAAAATTGAGAAACAGTGATAAATAATTTCTTCTTCTTTCAGTGAAGCGGGGCATCAGTATCATTTTAGTTATTTTGCAAAAATGTTGTTAGGAGTTGGTCTCATCAGTTTGTTTTATTATCTCCGTTGGATCGGTACATCCATGCAGCAGTGGCGAAGTATATTTAAAATCACTTATGAAAAGTTTGTAAACATTTGCAAGCATGCTCAATTATAATCACCCGCAAGAAATTGATATTTAAAATACTTCGCTATTTTGCCACCATAGCGTGTAGAAGATTTGTTTTTATTCAGAACAACATATTAACAAGTGATTCGCAAAAAACTTTCAACTATGCTAAGTCAAAGCTGCTTGTGATTCATTATTATCACTTGTAATCATTGAAAGGAGAGAAAGTAACTATTGAAAGCAGCTTGCATTTACATATAGATTTGATTTTATCGAAGCGTATAGTTGAAAACACTATTTTTAGATTTTTTTCAAACGTGAGCTTCATGTTGCTCTGAGCAAAAAAAATGTTTAAAAGAAAAAGAGAGGAACTTACAGATGCACTGATATCCCTGCTTTCCGAAGCCCCTGCGAGGTGACAAGAAAAAGAAAGAAATGTTATTCGATGGATTCATAAAAGGCAACAAGCAAGGCAGCCAGCCCATGCTGCATTGTTCGCTAGTGACAGGATAAATATAAAAGTTTGCAATTTCTTATTCAAGATGTTCACAAAGCTTACTTTAGCATCCATGTGGCTTAAGTCTCACGCTGCTAAGTATGAGGACACGGGCTAGATTTCCAGCCACAGTGGCTGCATTTCGATAACGGTAAATTCAAGAAAACCCGTCTTCCTTTTAGACGCACGTTAAAGAATCTCAAACAACCGAAGGTGATTTAAGTTCTCTGAGTACGACATGGTTCGTAATAATATCGGTGAGTGTAGCACGTAAGCGCTCCCAACCATCTCATCCACGTCAAAAAAAAAAGAAGAAAAAATATTAAATTTTACGCTCATCGATCAGTTTGATGTTGCCATTCAGCAACGACAGTTTGCAATGTGACTTCAGACTGACACCCTAACATTACTCTTGCGATCTACACCTGCTTCATTGAGAACGTTCAAGCGCACACAAGTCTTCGTTCATCACGTGTTTGCTGACGGCATCGGTGCACTCATGATACGGCAGTATTGAGTGAGTTATAATACTCGTCTCAGAATTTCGAATATGTCCATGGGCGTATCAGCCTAGTGTGCGAACCATCAGTTAACAGTGAAAACATCCTCCTGTACACGATGGCAAATGTTGTTTCGTGCATGTATGAAAGGATTACATATGGTAATAGTTTGGCGATTGTCTTGTCATTCTTTGCAGAACGCTTTAGAAGGTGCAACTAGCATGGTAAGCTGAAGCTTAATACACCAAGTCATTTGTGCTTTCCCCGAGGTTCCCACATATGAATCGTCCGGTGATGTTGAAAGGAAAATGGGCGAAATACTCAATGGTATAACTTGATGAAAACACAAGTGTCTTCTTTTTAAGAAATTGTAATAACAAAGTACTCTACCGTAATATACAAGTAAAAATCTAAATCCTATCTTGCCAGTGTTCTAGCCAATCAAAAAAACAAGGAATAGATTTGTAATGCGATAGTAGACTTCGGAAACCCGCTTTTTATCTTTATATAATGAGCTAAGCTTAAAATTACACAATATTTTTCAGTGCTTCGAATATTTTTCGCAACTTCGCACCAAGCTAGCTTCGGTGGATCTTGATAGTGTTGCGTGTAGGAAGAAAGGAAAATGAGCGAGAGGAGAGGCAGGGATGTTAATTAGCTAAGCATAACTGGTATGCTACCCTGCAGAAGGGAAATGAAAGAATCTCTTGGAGGCGTAAATTTGCTATGACTCTTGCGTTATATTTTGCATTGCCACACTCGTAAATATTCTTCGACCGATTCCTCAGCTAGCTAATAGCATTCAAACATTGCATTTACGAAAGAAAATTGGTAGAAATAAATTCACTGTTTTGCTGAAGAACGACCATTTTTCCGTTGGTACAGACCCTCTCTTGAAGCCACTTGTAGGTCGGCGAACGAGACATCATCATGCTGAATCTTTGACGCCGTATCTATCGAAAACTAACCTTTTGAAATACGCGTTTTTTTCGCCATAGCATAGCTGATTGGAACGACTTATCTGTAGCTAGTTTACAGAGCACTGACGCTATTGATGCTATTAGGAGTTGAATATGTATTTGCTCTTTGCGCAATTTTTTTGTTATTCTGCTAATACAATATTTCGATTCGTAGCATTGTTGTGCTTTCAAAATACTTTGTAATTTCTGCTTCAAATCGTTCATTTCTGCAATAAAATTTTCATCCTATCAGCGGTTTGTGTTAATTGTTTAACCTTATTGTTTATTGCATTTATAACGTAAATGCAAGGTCAAAGCGGTATCAGCGTCGGTACAAAAGCAGCAAGAGCTGGCCGGGTGTACGTGCAGCGTCGCAGCAGCAACCAGGCAGTCTTAGCTCGTGTCTCGCGCCAACGTGTCGATGTCGCTTTAGTAGTGGGCATTCCTCTTCACTACACATAATATTTTATATCTGTTTGCATTGTATTTTTTTGTCCCTTCTGCTTGGACTCTTACCGAGTCTTCAGTATCTTGTAAATAAATAAAATAAATAAATAAATAGAGAACAAGAGAAAAGCGCTGAATATACATCACTTCCCATCTAAAATAAGTATAGCCTGTTTCACTGCTGTAGTTCAGCGGTACCAAAGCTACGGTGTGCACGAAGCAACACGCTTGCGCAGCAAAACACAGTCGCAGTTATAAGTGGCTTAAAATTGACAGAAAAGGCTGAAATGGGCTTTTGTTTGGTAGCTGCTTGTTGTATAGTTCAGCGAGATAGAGTATACAGGCACAGTACTGCACGTGGAATAGCACAAAGGCCCCTGTCTTATGCAGGCTTACGTCGCGCTATGAACGATGTTTATTTTAAGAGCCTGCTCGTGATTAGTTAAAAAACAAACAAATGACACAGCTTCATTTAGCAAAGAGGAAACCAGGTGGGCCAATTGCCTGCAAATTATGCAAGGCTAGATCCGCCAGCTACTTACAGCCTCCTTAACCTTAACCTTAACCTCGGTAGCTGCTACACCATATTCATAGGTGATATATTGATTCTTTGACGCATTTATTTCATACGCATCTATTTATGTGTGTTGGTTATCACCAGTAGCTGTAGTTACGCATCGACATCAGAGTGCCCATGCTGAAGCGGCCAACAGCTTCGATCCGACCTCTGCCTTGCTACACGACCATGACGCTAGTAGCAAAAAATATATGGCTAAATGAGCCACCAATCCATGTCTTTTAAAGACGATAGTCCATCATGGGGTACTTCGACGCAAAAATTTTGGTCTGGCTGTCTTTCTTTCTGTCTGTACATTTGTCTGTTTGTCCGCCGTAACGACACCCCAAACGAACAACCCTACTTGCAACGCCAACCAATATTACTCAAGTTTCAGCGTTCATACTTGTGCCAATATCAAATAAAAAGCAGTTATCACGCATATCTGATGCACCATAACAACACGTCAATATTTTGTATGAGTGTCTTTATACCAGACAAGGCATACAAAAGTGATTCTAAGGACCGTAGTGTTCCTCACGCATCGCTTAAAATGTATCGCGATGCTCAAAAAGGAAAGTGTTTCCAACATTTTGCTAAGGTGACGCGGTGGTGGCACCTGTCCGTTGCTTTGCATTCTACACCTTATCGCCTCCGTGACCGGCGCGCACGCCATCCTTCGTTTTCGAGGATAACTGCCAGATAGCGCTTGTGTCGCCTTCGCTGCACGGATCGAGACTCTCTAACACAGCCCCTACAAAAAAAAATTTACTGATTTTCTCACGAAAACCATCAAATAAGCGCTTTGTTCCCTCTCTCCAGACGCAAGACTATCGTCTTTCGAATACATTTGCAGTGAAATACACAGACGCGGGGCCAATTTTTTTACTCTGAGGAGAAAGCATCAGGAAGGTTTTGCTGTTATTAGAGGAATATGCTGCTTGCTTAGCCACATCCGCTAAGCACAACACTCTGAGGCAGTGCTGGAGCTGTGTCACCACGCCAAGAGCTATGCATCTCCAAATATCGGACATATGCGTACAACCGACGTTTTCAATTTAGAAGCATTGGTACATCCTCCCACAGCGTTGCGTATGCGTCGAATCCTTCTTCAGTAGAAAGCAGAGAAGAGAGGAAAGGATCTTTGCAGCGGGAGACGCGAAGGAACGCGTCAACAGAGGCACTCGTACGAGAGCCACGAACAGCGTCGGTGAGAAACAGCGACCACCCCTGTTTCCCATCAGATAATTGAGCATTTCGATTTAAGTAGTTTGTTCTCAATTCAACTGATTGATGATTGATATGTGGGGTTTAACGTCCCAAAACCACCATATGATTATGAGAGACGCCGTAGTGGAGGGCTTCGGAAATTTCGACCACCTGGTGTTCTTTAACGTGCACCCAAGTCTGAGAACACGGGCCCTACAACATTTCCGCCTCCATCGGAAATGCAGCCGCCGCAGCCAGGATTCGAACCTGCGACCTGCGGGTCAGCAGCCGAGTACCTTAGCCACTAGACTACCGCGGCGGGGCTGTTCTCAATTCAAACAATCAGACCTGTTATAATTTATCACCCAGTCACCGATATGACACGGGTGTATACCTTACAAAGAGCATTGAGGGTCTCCAAGCATCGAGTTACATCCCCGAGTTATGAAATTTCTCGCAAGAAGGGAAGTTGGTGGCCCAGTATACATGCTTGTTTCACATGTCAATCACATTTTAATGTTAATAAAACAAACATATCAATCGCAATGAGTGTGGATAGACAATTTGGTGGCCAGACACTGTGAAGACGCCGAGCAGACTACGCGACACGGATGAATACCCGTGGAAGGGTTAATCATCCTTTCGAACAGCCAAATAAACTTGCCCTACGCCATCTCCCGACGCCGACAAGAGCTCTCGCAAGTGGTGCCTCATCCTCGGACTTCTATGGTGTTTCCATCTTTCCTATCTCTGCTATCTCCTCGATATGTCCTCACTCACTGGCTTAGCGCATCTTTCTCTCTTTATATACATTTAATCCTATTCTTTTAATTCCTCCTCACCCCCATCCCTCGTGAGCTACTGTTGAGGTGTCGCAACGTGATGCAGACAGTTACAAGGCTCGCTTTTCTCTTCCTTTCTCTCTTAGAGCCACTGCAACAGCTAAAGGGCCCTGCAGCATCCACAGTGCTGAAGGGAACATATGAAACAGAGTATAGTACTGGCCATCCAAGTTTCTGTTTAGGAAAAGTTTTCAACAATTTCTAGTACTTGGTACTCGACTATGGTAAAGCAGTGAGCCCTCGCGTAGAACTTAACAGTCGAAGCCTCAATGTCCTTAGTGGGTTTAGAGAAAAAGTTTAACAATTTTGGCTACTTAATACTCAAATATGAGAGAGCAGACAGTCATCCCTTCATTAGGTTCATAGCAAATAAGGGGCATGCGTTAGGAAAAAGCGTTT